GCTTTATTTCAATGAGAACATGTTAAAAGAACTCTTCCAGTTAGAATTTTGGGTAAAACTCTTTCAGCCTCAAGTTAAACCAAATTACAGCCAGTTTGTTGGGAAAGGAGTTCATTTAATAGAACACTTGTCACACCCAGACAACCAACAACTTGATTATCTAAATAATTATATTATTGATCAGCAGTTCCTTTGTCCTGTCTGTGCCTGGTTGATGAGAAATTCCCACTTATTTTTCCTTTTTTATATGTGTTCTTATTTGAATCTTTTGGAGTCAGGTGAATCCAAATATATGTAGTACAGTTTGTGCTTTTGGACTCCAAAACTCCAACCTCATGTCTAGGCACATAAATTGATCTGCATTAGCTATTGATGTCTCTCATTGTTGGCTAATTTAGATATTTGATTTTTGTATAAAACTTAACAATGCAAATGGTAACTTAATAAACACAAGAAGGAAAATAAATTACTTCATTCCTTGTTTCAGGTATAAACAGACAAAAAAACCACCTCTATCATTTCGGTATTTCGCTTGCCTCATTTTTTGGTAAGTTTTTTCAGCATCAGAATTTGAGAGGATAAGGCTCAACCATTTATGTCGGAAAAAAACAAGTCACAGGCCTGCACTTTTGTACTCTCAGAGTTTGAATTGGATCATTATACATTTATCTTTGCCCTTGCAACCTCTCATACTGAACAGGAATCATGCTACATCTATGTAAAAATTCAACACTATTCAAATTCTTTTAGAACAATCTATGATTTTATTCAAATTCAATCTAAAAGCTTATGTTCAGTATATCTGTACTAAAAACCTGTGCTATAAAAATAGAGGCATAATTTTATTTCTTTTTTCTTTTTACTAGATAATCTACAAGGTGCTGTTATATTTTAGCTTTGATATTTTGGTTATGGTGATCTAAAAAATGTTACCCATTTAGTATCTTACCCTTACCAAAACAAGATTATGTCCACACACATTGTGCAGTGTTCATTTTTGGAGAAATTTGGGCACTGTCCTGGGTAGCCTATACGTGCCTGAACTCAGTGATCTGAAGGGTCCTTTCCCCAACAATTCTGTGATTCTGTTCACTAAAATAATCTGAAGACAAGAGAATTTATATTCCTATCATACTATTCACTTGACATACAGAGTGAGATTCTTCTTTTCTATGTAACAGATCTACTTTAAAATGTAAGTTAAAAAATTAAAAATGGATCCAGCAACGACTCCATAATCAGGGTCTTTTTGATAAGAGGACTGAGTCTTTTTGTCATCACACTGATTGTAATAAAATCTGTCACAGAGAAAAAGGCCATGCTCATATCTCCAGTCAGTGATAACAACTGATGATGTGATCCAGAGGTAGAAAACTCTACTTCACTTGCTATTTCTGCATCATTTTTGACCTTGCAATTGCTACCAAAAAAAAAAAAGTCAGAACAAATTACGCTGATGAGCATAAGAGATCAATAAGTTGAAAGTCAGTAGAGTAAAAAGAATTGAAACATGAAAACCTGGTCAAAAACTGACTAGTACATCAGCATATCTGTAAGACACGCCACGAGCAAGATATTCAGAGAGCCTCTGTGTCCCTGTCTTTACTGCACACCATGGCTGAGCACCTGGTGGTTGGAAATGCGTGGAAATAATGGCAGTGCCTTCTGAGTCTTCTAACAATGCAGTTACAGTCTCAATAGACAAAGAATTAAATGAAGTTCCCTAGTCTACTGTGTTTAATGTGGGGCCAACCTGAAGATCTGTCCTCTTATTTTCTGTCTGTCAAAAGGCCTCCTTTACTAGTGTGTGAAAGCATATTGCAGAGGATGTGTTTATAAAAAATTAACTGTAAGTATATGCAATTGCATTGATTGGTTCCTTTAACCCATTTTAAAAATACGCGTTTTTAACAAAAAAATGGAGGGTTAGTTTCTGTGGAACAAATTTTCCGTTATCAGCACTGTCCAGGCATTCTGACATGCTGGAATTTGGGAGCTCAGCTCTTACTGCAGCCATCAACACCTCAAGACATTTGGCTGGCATCGTGGTTGTGCCAGGAAAGACGTCAGTGCAAGTCCCTGTGCCACAGGGGCCTTGCTTGTGTTCACGAGAGTCTCCCCTGCAGAGCATCAACAGCTTGTATCGATGCAGAGCAGGTACAGGGAGTAGATGTATTAGTCAGCCACCAATGAAGTGGCCAGATGCTGATAGTGAGCATCCTCAGAAACAGGGCAACGTTCACACTGAACTGATACCCTGCAACGCTGCTGAAATGCCTGTGAACTGCTCAGCCTTGCCTGCAGCGCTTGCCTGCACTGGGGTTCAGAGCTGCAGTTTAGAGTTAACATCAGGTATTGCTCTAATTCTTGTGAAAACAGAGTGAATTGAGAAGCAGCTGGATTTTTTGAGGAACGCTTTCTGTGCTGCAGATCTCATTTTTTCTAAAGACAAACAAGTAAGAACTTACCCTGCTCTCTTGTATTACAAAGCAGAGGAAATCGCTGGCATCAGATACGAGTGCTGCTAGCACATGAAAATACAGATAAACAGGCTTAGAAAAACTGAGACATCTGGAAGGATGGAGTAAAAATTATACAGAAAATACAGTATGTAACAGTACATATGGCTAATGGAAAAGCAGCTCCAGGATGCAGCCAAGAATCTCTTCACTTGGGACTGCACTCACCCCAGCTATTCACACTGGGATCTGCCCAATGGTTGAAAATTGCCAAGCAGGGGTGGAGGATATGAAAATTACTGTGCAATGAAAAGTAATAGCTTAGAGCACTGCCCTTCAGTGTGTTCTGTAGAAGACAGATACATGATGGTCCCTTTTTCGCCCACAGAACCAAAAACTTCTTTCTGACACATAGGAGTCAGGAAGAAGTAAAACCAAGATAATGAAAAAACAACCCCCTCTTATGCTGTGACTTGGCAAGTTACCTGAACTATTTACTACCCAACTTCTCTGGAAGTAAGCTGTGAGATAAGGGTGTTACATTATCAAATGCAGAAGTATGTTATTAAAGCCCTCCAAACTCTCCAAATGAAAAGCAGTTCATGCTGCCCTCATGTATTTTTTTCTCATGATTTCAGTTCTTTAGAAGACTGTCCTTTGCTAAGGTCATCTTCAAGATTAGGGGACTGTTGGTCTGCCTTTCAAGTTGTTCCTCACGTTCACACATCCTTGGCATTGGGCAGTCTCCAGTTCTCACTTTGTAATCCTCTGGCTGGTTCTGACAACTCCCAATTTCTCATTTCTTTCAATGCCGGATCGTTTACTTGAATCAGTTCTTTGAAAAAAGAGGCCTTTTTGCAGACCTCTGATGTGTTTCTTCCTTCTTCTCCAGGGAGTCCAAGACAAATTGCTTTATTCTGAAGGTCTTCTTTCACTACTGCACCCTAGATCCTTGGCTTTTTAATCAAACAGAGAGGTTGTGCTCTGCCTCCACTGCCAGACTTGTTTACCAATAAATATTCAAAAATTATCAAGAAAGACCATTCTACTTTCTCCCAAATTGCCTTTTATGCATGGGAGGAATTTCTTTAATTAATTTCAGCTCTGAAACTCTTTGCTGTAATTCCAAACAGCTGCTGTGCTGTCCCCACTCTTAATGAGCTTTGTCTTCATATGACTTGGAGAAGGACAGAAAGGGCCGTGCTGTCTAAAATTGTTTGAAATGGGTTTTCAGCATGCAAAATAAACTGGACAGCTCCCATGTGAAATGGATTGTGGTGTCACTCCCCCCTCTGAGGAAATTTAATCTGTCTGGCTAGTGAGAATGAGACTCACAGCAGGGACAGAAGGTATTGACTTTTCCACTTTTTAAAAAAAAAATATTCTTTTTTTTTCCCCTTCAAATGGACTGGGGCTGTTTCATCTGAATTGTCATTCTTAAATAATTGCCTTGGTAGAAGCAGTACGTTTCAACCTCATGCCATCTTTTGAAAATTTAGACTAGCTGTTGGCTTAGAGAGATGCAGCCTGACATTCTGAACCTACACACAGTGTGAAAAATTGCTTTGATCAGCTTGTGCTTATGATTTAAGGCAGTAAAATAGAATTCTCACTAATTGTGTTTAAGGCATGATGTATTGTGTAATCCACAGAGAGACTCGTTTCAAAAACACTGTAACCATAAAAACAGCTGTTCCACTGAGTCATTTTCCCAATGTGCAACTTAAAACAAAGCAAAACAGAGCAAAAACCTGTCCCAGTTCTAACTTAGTTGTGTTGATGGAGTAGGATAATGATGGAAATGTGGGGAAAAACAACAGAAAAGTCATGTCCACATTCCTTTTTATACCAGAAGTTTGGAAACAGGAAAAAAGAGCCTTTGGAGTTAAAAAAAAAAAAAAACACAAAAAACCCCAAAAAACCAGAAAAATCTCAGTTTCTAGGAGATATTGGTATCCTAATTAAATTGTGAATAGCAAGGCATAGTCAAAATAATTTGCAAAGATGGCAATGAGTCTAAAATTAGAAAGAAAGGAATTAAAATAATAAAGATATACCAGTTGAATATCTAAAAAAATTCAGGTCATATATGTGCTTTTGTACATATTTTCATGGTGTTCAACTAGAATACAGTCTCTAGAAGAGAATGTAGTAAGATCTGGTAAAGCAGGTGGAGGAAAAAATTGCACTAGATAAAAGGTAAAAAAAAAGGCAAAACATACTGCAGGCACAGACCTTTCATCAGTAGAAAGTTGAGTGAGCAAGTGAATAACCCTTTAATAAATTTAGAATGACCTTTCAAACCACCATGCTTTTAGAGGGAAAATATAAGCCAAGTTCTATCAAGGTAAGCCTTAAACTGAATTCCAAACAAATTTCCTTGGGGGGAGGGTGCGGGAGGTAGAACTTTTAATATGTTTGTATGTTATGACTGTTGCAGGGCCCAGAATTTAATTTTTGTGGATCTGCAGTCCAGAGATCTTTTACTTCCCATATTGATGCTTCGGAGGTGCAGAGCTCCAGAGGGCACAGAGAAGTGACATGGCTCTGTTTTTCTCGTTTGCAGATATCTCAATAAGCTTGCTCTCCTTAGTTGTCACAGCCTGTGGTCTTGCTCTGTTTGGTGTCTCTCTGTTCGTCTCCTGGAAGCTGTGCTGGATCCCTTGGCGAGAGCGTGGTCTGCCATTTGGGAACAAAGACAACAAGCAGGAATCGCTGAACTACACAGACACAGAGACCAATGACCGTGACTACAGTGAGGATTATCTGGGTCAGCCTACAGCCTATCCAGAGTCCTCCATGAAGATCAGCCACACCTCCCCTGATATTCCGTTAGACACCCAGGCGGGAACGAAGGAGAACTGCGTCCACAATGCGCGAATGCACCGGCAGATCACTGAACCAACCTCTTCTGCTCGGTCAGTAACTCCAGTTTCTCTCTGATATTAATGAATACAGATACAGTCCAAAAAGGACAGCTTGATTATTCAATACAGTGATCTGATAAAAATGTATCGTCTACTCGCCGCATTCTTTTAAAGAAAAGAATCACACAAACCTTATTCTTTGAGGTGCACAAACCTCATAGGTTGAAAGGACAGGATCACAATCCTGTTCCACTCTTCTATAAACTACTGTCTCATTTGTGCTTCTCCCTCAGAAGCTGGATAACACAGAGCACTATGTGTCTCTTAAAAGCACCAGAACAGCCTAGATTTAGCTTGTAAAGCATATTCATTTGCACTTAGCACTGATGCTGAGCACTCAGTAATATCTCCTCAAAGATTTTTAAAACAACCAAAGAAGAAAAGTAGGCCAAGCTAATGAAACACTTGCAAGAGTTAGAAATAGGATTAAAAATCATAGATTTTAGCCACAGTCATGACTGTGGAGGGAAATGGAACTGAATAAGTCAGTGAAATCTCCAGGGGAACTGCAGAACCAGTACACGAGGGAAGAGCAAAGGGAGAGGGTGAGAGTATGTGCAGGGGCAGGTGATAAAAGGATTATGTTTCATACAGTAAGAAAAAGGATCAGCATGTGAAGATCAGCCAGTAAATATCTGAGTCAAAGCAGATGCATTTCAGCTGGAGAAGGTACAGCACTAGCCCAGTGGCTCTTTGCTAGCCTCCCTTCTGGCCATCTGGGAGAGCAAATTTAACGAAGACTCTTGCCTGCAGGCACACCTGAAACACGGGTGAGATGACAACAGCCAGTTCAGTAATTGCCAGTTGTCCAGAACACGTCTCAGAAAGGATTTGAGACATTTCCAGAGAATTACAAATGCTAATGTCAATCTGTAAAAGAACTTGCCTCAGCATCCTGAGTGCAAAGACAAGGTCTTCTCTCCTGTGCAGATCTTTCTTCTGGCCACGTTCCCAGGCTGACCCTCTCCAGCAGGTGTCACACTGGCTCTCTGCTCCCAAGGGATCCTTGTCCAGGTCCCACTCCCGCTCAATGCCATTTGCTGGCACAGAGCAGCAAACCCCTCTCTTTCACTGCCCCTCACTTTTGCCCAGAGCTTCTCCAAAAGACTCTTTCACTGAGCAAGAGGGCCCTGCCTTCCTTACCCTGCATCCTTCAGCTGAGACATCACCCTTTTCTCTGCTGCTTTATGCCATAACTGGGGAGCCAGCTGTGGCTTTTCTCTGTGACCACAGAGGCCAGGCAGCTGCTCCTGCTACAGTCCCTGCTAAGATGTCTCTGAAGTGCCCTCCTTTTTATTCCTCCACAGGATATTCTGCATCTGCCACTGCAATGAGGAGCTTAAGGGTTGAAAAAAATACTTATTTTTTGGTTATATGATGATATTTTATCCTGGAAATGACTAATGTATAGCTCTAAGATTATGTATTTATTATGCAACAAGAGAAAAAAAATTAGGGTAGTACAGAAGAGGCTGTTCCTGTTTTAAGCATGCGTAGACAGGTATTTACAAGGAATGAATGAACAATGGTAGCAGAGGAGCTATTGCTGATTAGATTCAATATAAATAGCTTTGGACTAATCCTCTGCTAGCATTTTCCATGTGCTCTTTCTGTGTTCAACCACAGCTCATGGTACACCAATAACTGAGTGACTGCTCAATATGAATAGGACAAGAAAATGGAACCCCACTCAGATAAGATTAGGATTTTACATAATCCAACTTTCACATCCCCTCACCCCAACAGGATTTGCAAATTTGATTTCTGTTACCATTCACCAGGGAGAAATTTCAGTCACAATAAGTGAGGGACTCCAGGTAATAAATTTCACTGGACTGAAAATAAAAGCAACTTTTCATCCTCGAGTAATGAAACTAAAGGAGCTTTTCAGCCAAAGTACCACAGAGCTCATTACATCAGGTATGAGAGGAAAAAAACCAAACAATTGTTGGGGTGGTCAACAAACCATTTCAGGCCAGAACAGCTCACTTGTTAATTGTAGAAATCAACAAGTAATTAAAATGCAGAGATGTCAGGAAGTGTTCTCTGAACCAGAAATCAGCAAGCTCATTTGACCCTGCTGCCATTTGCATAATGCAGCTCATTTTGTAGGCATTAATATACAGGATTCAGTCAAAAATGGCTAGTGATAAAAATAGCTACAGTTCTTATGCCACACCATACTTGCCAATAAGATATAGATCCTTTGGATTTGCAATGGCCATGAATTTCCATTTTGTCACCTTCTTCAGCCAGGTTGGGTTTCAGATATGGCAGCAGAAATGAAGTGACATTGGCACTGAGGGTCAGCTCTGTGAGAACTGTTGGTTCTCACGCTTTATCCCTTCATGGATTAAAGATCTGACCCCGCCGTACGTTACAAAAACACGTCACATGAGAGCAGGATCTTCCATGTGTGTGTGTGCAGGGACTCTTCTCATCCTCAACACGTCTGTTTAAACTCTTTCATTTCCACTTAAGGCACAATTCGATCCGAAGACAGCTCAACCTCTCCAACCCGGACTTCAACATCCAGCAGGTTCAGAAACAGGAGCAGCTGACGGGGATCGGCCGCATTAAGCCAGAGCTGTACAAGCAAAGATCGGTGGACACGGACGATGGCCGGAGGAGTAACAGCAAGGCATGTGGAAAACTGAACTTTATTCTCAAATACGATTGTGATTTAGAGCAGCTGATAGTGAAGATTCACAAGGCCATCAACCTGCCAGCAAAGGACTTCTCTGGAACTTCAGATCCGTACGTGAAGATATATCTGCTTCCTGACAGGAAAACAAAACACCAGACTAAAGTGCACAGAAAGACCCTAAATCCAGTATTTGATGAAGTTTTTTTATTTACTGTTCCATACAATGATCTGAACACAAGGAAACTCCATTTCTCTGTATATGACTTTGACAGATTCTCCAGGCATGACTTGATTGGCCAAGTGGTAGTGGATAATTTTTTAGATTTGGCAGATTTTCCCAGGGAATGTAATATTTGGAAGGATATTGAATATGTCACCAATGTAAGTATTACAGTTTTTCTTTCTGAATTTTTTTTGTTTCTGATTTCATTTCCTTGACGTGATTATAACTGAAATTGTCTGTTAAATTTATGAAGGAAAATATTCTCTCTCTCAGGCTTTGACCTTAATCCAAGGAAAATGACAGTACATTTTCAGTCCTAATTTCTTGTTCTTTGGATATATTAAAGCATGTTTTATGTAGGATATAGTGGGTTTAGTCATTGTGCTGATGATAGGGTAGTAATGCTGAAGGATGTTCTTCTCTTAATCTTACTTAATCTAAAACTTATTCAAGGAAATACTACTCCTCTTACTTTGCCTATTTTTCTGTGTTCTGCATGATTTTTCATGTAAATTACACCATACTAATTAGCTAGAACTGCAGATTCAACATTCTTTATGTAGTGATTTTCAATCCTTCAAAAGACTATATTCTCATAAATTCAAACAACCCCCCCAGCTATAATCCAGTCAAAGAGAGTTCAGACAATACTGTTCCATGAAAGCAGTGAAACACCCTGAATTGGTTTAACTCTTTGTTTGGCATCGTTTTGTTTTTAGGGAAATGGGAAACTTGTAAAGTAAGTCTCTTTTTCTGTTATCCCAAAGTCTCTGGTATCAAATTCTGAGCAGGAGTCAAACAGTGATTAGATACAAAACCACAGAAATTACTTCTGAAAAGGAAATCTTCTCAGAGCAGGAGCCAACCTCCTTCTAATGCCACTGGAAATGAATCCTGCCCATCCTCCAGAGAACAGACCTTCAGTGAGAATGATACATTACAGAAATCCACAGAGGTGAAGGTACCAGTGCCAAGTGTCAGTAAATATTTCATTTGCTATGTCAAACCACACTCAAATAGAGTGCACATTTTAGAGTCAAATGAACCAAACATCATTAACAGTAAGATCAAAGTGTAACTTTGTTAGACCTCAGTTCAAGAAAGCATTTAAGAATATGCTTAACTGAGAATAAGAAGCCATTAAAAAGTAAAGGATGTTCTGAGACAAATAACTTTCCTGAATTCAACTCCTCATCATATACCTCTGTGGTCTGGTACTATGCCTGTGTTACAGACCAAATTGCTTAAATCCATTATTTTGTTTGGAATTTCTTTTTGGAAATGGATATTTCCCTCATTTTAAGGTGATTTCTCAGCCTTCTTGGTCAGTGTGTGGAACGTGCACTCACTGCACAGTCCTGTCCCACACAAGGATGGAAGTGCAGCAGCAGCACGAGCAGCTCCTCACTTGGGATACAGGCAGGGCCTTGGTGTCAGAGAGCAGGAACCTGGCTTTTGTGTGAGGAGTTATTGCTTTTCAACCACAAGGGAAGAGTAAGGATGTGACAGAGCAGTTGACAGTCATTCCAAGTGAAAGACTGTCTTCATGCAGCATTAAGTGTCTCAAGATCAACTTCATTTTTTACTGTAAACTGAAAGCTGCATGCACAGGCACACTGGAGTTACTCTGATATGTACCAGTCCTTTTGCCCTGCTTTGACTCAGGCAGAAGGTTTACTCTGGTATTTTCTTTAGAATCACTTCTCCTTCCAAATTTCAAAAGCGATTCAGCGTGTCATTTGTATTCAGATTTTCTGTAATCTCTGAAATTAAATTCAGGACTGAAACATGAGTCATTTATTAATTCCTACTGATACTAATTCCTGTGAGAAGCGTAACCCTGTTTATCCAAACAGAACACACGACCTGCCATCTAGACTTGTCACTGGGTTTCCAGCTAGCAGAGACCTTTTCAAAGCAAGTGACTCACAGTACATAGGAGACACATCCAATTTCGGGTAATGTGAGTTCTGAGATAAAAGTATCAGATAAATGAAAGTGTGGAGTACTCAGCTTACCAATTAACATTTCCAAAATTTCAAAGGTTAGAACTCACTCCGTGAAGTTATGAGAAACCCTCCACGCATCATTTAAGAAACCAAATTTCAACCCATTTCCTTGTCTGTGTAGCTCGGATATCTCTCAGACTGACAGCAGAAGCTGAATCCTGCAGGCTACTCGTGAAGCTGCTGCAGTGGATACTCCTGTGGCTGCACTCCAAGCCAGCAGGCAGCATTAGTGAACCCCAGAAAGAAATTTCGGCAAAGTTTTGAGCACCATGGGGAGGTTTATGGTTGCAAACCAAAACTGTATCAAGAGTCCCAGGTTTTCAATGATTTTATATTTGAATGCCTTGTTGTTTCAAATAATACTGGAGAACAGACAAATTCTTGGCAAAATTACTGAAGGAAATTCAGTTAATGTAGATCAACAAAGAGTGCACACAGGAAGGATAAAGCAAGGAAAGATGAGACAAAGGGAAGCTCCACACAAACTACACATGACAAGTTTGACATAATTCTAAAGAGTACATTCATTTTAATTCCTCGTGCATCTTATTGCACTGCATAACCAGCGAGCCCAAAGGCCTTTATTTTACATTCTTCATTTTATTATGTTCTAATCCAATTTGACACAGTAATATAAAAGAATGTATCAAATCCTTCTCTGCCCAGCAAAAAATGTCCTACTTCGAGTGAGCACTGCAGATTATGCCTGAAATGTCAGATTTACTGCAAACAATGCCATTAAACTGACCTATTATGCCATGTGCTTTCTTCTGTTTTCTAATAACACTGAAAGATTTTTTTTTAATCCCAAACCAGCAGTTTTCATTCCTTAGACAATAACATCTGTTACCATCCCAGAGTTAAAGAGAAATTATTTCATAACACAGATGCATGTCAGCATAAATTTTTTTTACATGCTTAAAAGCAATCTGCTGCCAAACATGAATCTCCAATATCAAAATGATTGTTCTTCTAATCCCAGGTCCTCTGAACATAAAATCTCTCTCCTGTAACACTGACACTTTCTCCAAGCAGAAAAAAAAAGGCATCAATGGGCTGTATAATGGGAGAAATAATTAAGTGGATCAACTGTAGATGAACATGATATGAACTAGATAAGCTTTTTGAATATCTACCAGTCAGATTACACTGTTTTCTGGTTTATCAAGAAAAAAAAAAAAGATTCTTTTTATTTTTAGCCTGTGTTTCTCTTGTTGCCACGTTTTGTTTAAGAGCATCTAAAACATAATCAGGTTTGGGGTGGGGTTTTTTGTTTGCTTTTGTAATTTTCATGGACTGATGGCATGTTTGAAGAGAAAAAAAAGTGGTTAATATTTCCTTGGTTACCACCTTCAAACTCAGATGGGATCAGGAAAAAAAAAGAAAAGGCTTTGTCACAAAATAAAATGAAAAACTATGGAAGAAGAATGTGTCAGATATGAAACAGGAAGGTGTCAGATAGTCTGTTTCAGATAAAGGAGAACCTTCTCTTTCAGAAGATGCCAAGAAGATCCACTGGCATAACTTGCTGTGCATCCAGAAAGGAAAATCCTTTTTGAAGAATTGCTTGTTAAATATCATCAGGCAGCTACAGGGCACAGAGAGGATTTCTGTGAGCTAGAAATCTAGCTCTGGTTCATACTGGATGTTTCAATTCTCAAAGTGCTCAGCCTTTGGCACTTACTAAGCAGGTGATCCTTCTAGAGAGGAGTATTTAAAAGTGGCCTCAACTTAGAGCAGGGGGGTAATCAGAGTAAGAAAGAACAATATAAATTTCTACTCTTAACTGGGCCAGCATTTTCCAAAATGACTGGTCATTTTAGGAGGCAATTTTCTGACTTTGTTATAGTACATATAGCTTCTGCCACTGATGCTATTTTTTAGTTGTCAGATATAGTTATGTTTAATATCTAGGCATGGTACAGTGAAAACTGCTCTTTTTATGAATGTCTAACTTTATATATACACTTGAAAAAACACCCCTTATTCATAACACCCCGTTGGCACCTTTCTCTCATCTTACCTTGAGTCTGTGAATATTTCTGTAACATTCTTTCCTGAAAGGATATTTACAACAAGATTTGCAGTGATTATGTACCTAATATTCTCTAAAATGTAGCTGCCTGATTGACAGCTACAATTTATCCTTATCTGTGACTCCTTTGAGGCTCTTTGGGGTGTGCAACTTCTGTGAAGGCGGGAAGTAAATTGAAAGCCTGTTAAAGGTAGGAAGCAGTTGCTCACATTCAAGCCATGGTTTTTTCTTTACCTGCAAACAACTGGAGGACTAGGAAGGATTCAAAGGATTACTCTGTTTTGAATATGACTATCTTGAAGTACTTCACTGGTTTCTAGCAAAGCACTGATGAGTGTAGCATCCAGCCCCCAAAGTTATAAATCAGGGTACGAAAGGAGAGTGAAAATAGAGAAGGAAATATTTGTGAAACTGAGAGGAGATTACAGAAAGAAGGCCCTGGGTAATATATATAGAATTTGAGAAGTAATATGCTGCAGACTTTCAGGTATGTGTACGGTTCACTGAAACCCAAAAGATAGTTATGGATAGTTCAAAGCTGTGAAGAAACATGAGCTGTATATCAAGTTGCTCACTCTGACATCCAGAAAGAGCCAGCATATGCTACAAGTTTTAAAGCCAAGAAATTGATTGCATCTCTTTGAAAGAGTCTTCAAGCTGTTTTAGGGTCTGAGTAGTGGTCAAGAATACAGCAGTGTGTCAGATAATGATGAATTAGTTCTACACAGAAGCAGGAAACAAAAACATATTTAAAAAATAATGAATTTAGGATGTATATTGATATGCATGCTAGTGTTTTGACAAAGAAAGAGTTAAAAGTGGGATGGTTATACGTATCTGAAATTCTGCATTTTAAAAATGCTAATTGTTCACTGCTGTTGTTCTCAAGTTTGCCCAAGAAAGAAAGATTTGAGAATTTGTATTTTTAGGCATTTATGTTGTATAACTGAGATGCAACTGGAATCAAAACATCATCACAAGGAATTTTCAAGTTCTCCGTTTCAGTAAAAGTATGTGTGGAAGAGAGACAAAAAGACGCTGATTTTTTCAGTCAGTTGATCAGTTGCATTGCCCAGAACCAGGCTGTGAACCATTATTTGTCTGCCAAATGCAG